GAATAGGTTCTCCTGTAGCAGTGAAGACAAAATGGAAGGAAGAGGGACAGGTAAGAAAGAGTAGTGTTACTTAAGGAGAGGAGGACAACTTTTATAAGAAAATCTTGGAAATTCTCAGGGTTTGGAGGTCTTTTTAAAAAAGTGACCCGTCACTTCCCTGTATTTGTCATTGTTTCCCACTGTACACATGTTTGCAACACATGGGAAGTGGGAGGAGCTGGAATGTCCTCCAAATTCCCCTGATACCCTACTCCCACCTTTATCCTCTAGAAAAATTGTTTGTTTTGTTTAACTTTTGAGAAGATCTGATAGAATTCAATGAAGAATCTGATAGCCCAGCTGGTATGGCTCAGTGGTTGAGCGTGGATCATGCAGCAAGAAGTCACCAGTTCAATTCCTGGTCAGGGCACATGCTCGGGTTGCGGGCTTGATCCCCAGTAGGGGGTGTGCAGGAAGCAGCTAATCCATGTTGATGTTTCTCTCTCATGGAGGTTTCATCTCTCTCTCTCTCTCCCTCTCCCTTCCTCTCTCTCACTAAAATCAATAAAAAAAAACGTATTTAAAAAAAAGAATCTGATAAAGATTATGAGCCCTGTTCCAGAAGAAATGCAGCAACACCTACACATACATATATAATTTTACACACAATTTCATTGGTTTGTCCACCCTTGGATTTGCCATAGACTTCTTTGGGGATTGATGGACCCCGGGTTAAGAAATCCTGCTTTAGTGTTGGTTGCTTTCAACAAGTTTAAATTTATCTTCTCTTGGTTTTCCATAGATGTAAGCTCTAAAATTCCCATACGACTTTTAATGGGACCTCTAATATCCCCTTATCCAAATGTTATTATAGGCTTCTTAGATTTTGGGACACTGAATGGGAAAAGGCTGCATGCTCTAAGAGGGAGCAACACAAAGGTGGACTGCTTCAAGGCTAGGTTCTTTGGGTAGCTGGTGTGAGGTGAAAGGAACCAAGAGAGAGGCTTAGGAACAGAGTCCACTGGAGATTGAAGAGTCCCTCCTGACAGTGCTGTTTTTATAAGTTTCCATCCTAAGAACTGTGGGCCTGCAGACCTGTAGTCCTTAAAATGGAAAGCTGCTCTCATCTCTGGGAAGAATCTCCCAGCTCCACCCATCCTCCCAACTACCCACTGGGGCAGCTCTCCTTTTATCTTCAGATCCTGTGTGAAGACACCTTTTCCTAGAGCTCATCTTCTTGCTGAGGCAGCCCGCTCAGCCTGCTCAATGCTGTGAGTCCCTGAATGATTGAACCCCAATCAGGGAGGTGTTTCCCATGCACACAAGGCATAGTTCTGAATCTAAAGCCCAGTGGTTATTTACCAATTTGAGTCCAAGCTCAGTGGTCCCAAGAGCATCTATCCTTACGCTTAGTTTGCACCCAATATGTGCCCTGAGATGAATGAGAGTGTAGTAGGTCTGGAGGGGCTCAGGGGAAAACCAACAGCTCCAAGTGACAGTCCAGGCTGCCAGGGTTGGCTAGGGAGGCCAGTTTGTATCAGGCGAGGGAGGTAAATTCCCCAAATACCAGGATGTTGGGCAATATTTCAAAGAATGAAATTCATTGCTATTACAGCCCTTCCTTTACCCCCGTCCTGAACTCTATGTTTCATCCTTTTCCTCTACAACAGTGGTTCTCAACCTTCTGGTCCTTTAAATACAGTTTCTCATGTTGTGACCCAACCATAAAATTATTTTCGTTGCTACTTCCTAACTGTAATGTTGCTACTGTTATGAATCGTAATGTAAATATCTGATATGCAGGATGGTCTTAGGCGACCCCTGTGAAAGGGTCGTTCGACCGTCAAAGGGGTCACGACCCACAGGTTGAGAACCACTGCTCTACAATGTACTAGGCAAATGATTCATTGTTTATCATTTTACCTTGCTGGGCTCAATTCTAGACTGGATTTCTAAGACCCTAAAATAATAGTTGTCTAGATATCTTTACAGGTTGTATAAGAGTATGAGCTGTTCAAAGGAGGATTGAAGGGGAGGTCATACATATTCAAAGTCTTCCAACTAATTATTCTTTTCTTTTCTTTATTTTTTATTTTTTGGTGATTTTAATGCCATTATTTTTATTTACTTAAATTTATTGGGGTTACATTGGCTACTAATTTATTGTCTGATTTTTAAAATTACCTTATCCAAGAAATATATTTGGAGCTCTAATTAGGTTAGGATACTAGGATGTGGGGGACATGGGGGAGCATAAATATGTACTAGGATATAGAAAAATATATGAATAATACGATTTGAATTCTGCTTTCAATAACTTGCTGTATAGTGGAGGAAATAAGATGTATAAGTAAACCACAATAAAATATCATATACTGGTAGTTTCACTTATATGTGGACTCTAAAGAACAAAATAAACAAACAAAATTGAAGCATATTGCCCTAGCCAGTTTCTCAGTGGTTAGAGCATCAGCCTGTGGACTGAAGGGTCCCAGGTTTGATTCCAGTCAAGGGCACATACCTTGGTTGCAGGTTCCCCAGCCCTGGTTGAGCTGCATTCAGGAGGTAGCCAATCAATGTGTCTCTCTCATATTGATGTTTCTCTCTGTCTCTCCCTCTCCCTCCTACTCTCTCTAAAAATCAATGGAAAAATATCCTTGGGTGAGGATTAACAAAACAAAATTGGAGCAGATTCATAGACAAAAGAACAGATCGATAGTTGCCAGAGGGAATTTGGGGGGCTGAGTGAAAAGGTGAAGAGATTAAGAAGTACATATTGATAGTTACAAAATAGTCACAGGGATGTAAAATACAGCATATAGAATATAGTCAAAATATTCTAATAACTATGTATGGTGCCAGGTGGGTACTGAAAATATTGGGTGTCACTTTGTGAAGTATATGATTATCTAAATACTATGCTGTATACCTGAATAATACAAAATAATATTGAATATGAACTCTAATTAAAAAATAAAATTGAAAAAATAAAAGTAAAAAAACCCCAATATATATATGGATATATATATGTATACGCACTATATATATATATACACACAATCACTAACTTCACAAATATCGAGAAATTCTGAGGGAAGCTGGAAGCTGGTACATTTGGAGACAGGATGAGTTTGTCCTCAAGACAGAACATTTGCAGTTCTAGGCAATGTTTGGGACTCCCTGATCCTGGTAAGCATTAACCTGAAGTCACTAATATTTCTGGGCCTGTCCTTTTTTTTGTTGTTGCTAATCCTCACCTGAGGATATTTTTCCATTGATTTTTAGGGAGAGTGAAAGAGGGAGAGGAAGACAGAGAGAAACATCGATGTGAGAGAAACACATTGATTGGCTGTCTCCTGCATAAGCCCTGATCCGGACTGGGGAAGAGCCCGAAACCAAGGTACATGCCCTTGACTGGAATTGAACCCAGGACCCTTTGGTCTGTAGGCCAACGCTCTATCCACTGAGCCAAACTGGCTAAGGCAAGGGTCTGTTCTTAATGTCCATGGTATGAAGAGGCCTTCCTAATGATCAGCTGGATACCTCCGTGGTAATGGAGGAAGAACTGGGTTAGCAAGAAGGCAGTGAGAGTAAGAGGTAGTACACAGCAGTATTTGGGCCCTGTACTCCTGGTCTCTTTTCCCAATTCTGTCACCCCAGAACTAAGAAAAACCTTGGACAATCCCTTCTCCTTTCTGCTGCAGGGCCTATTAACTATGGCATCCCTGAATACTGATTGAGTACTTACACCTGTGTCTGCCTCCTACCTGCAAGGCAAGGATGTACTAAATGCTGCAGGGGTTGTGGGGAAGGATGAGACAGGTGCCTGCCTTCAAAGAGTTTCATTCTACTGAAACAGAAAAGGCAAAACTCAGGAAAAATATGACACATGATTAAGATATGAACAATGGGGTCAGACTGTCTGACTCAAATACTGACATTGGGCAATATTGAACCTGTCTGCATCTTGGTTGCTTTATCTGTATGGTAGGATTAATAACAACCTTACCTTATAGGAATACTACTATTAAGGCATCAGATAGCTTAGGAAAGTTTTTAGTACAGTACTGGTACATAGCAAGGACTCCAAATTGTTTACTTATCATCATCATCATCATCATCATCATTATTTAGTTAAATATTGACATCAGGCCTGAAAAGGAACATATGACAATAGGGATTTTTTCAGGCCATCCCCTTAGAGCAGTAGTTCTCAACCATGGCTGCACATTAGAATCACCGGGGAATCTTTTTAAAATCCTGATTTCTGGGCCTCATCCTCTGGAAATTCTGTTTCTTTTGTTACTAATGTTGTGGCCCCACCCCATAACAAAGAAACAGAATTTCTGGAGGATGAGGCCCAGAAATCAGGATTTTAAAAAGATTCCCAGGTGATTCTAATGTGCAGCCAAGGTTGAGAACCACTGCCTTAGAGTTTAAACTTCTTGATAGATGATCTGTCCCCAATGCCCCCACCCCTGTGACTTGTAACCAAACAGGTACTCGGATATTTTTGGGAACTATAATTAAGCACATTTCTTATTTCCAAATAAATGGAATAAGTAATTAGGAAACTTAGGACAGTGAGGCTGGTGGTGTGAGCTGGACAGTCAGGGAAGGCTTCATGGAGAAGTGTGGAGAGCGGCTACAGTGCTTGGACAGGTTCAAGCCTCGGACTAATAAGCTATAGTTGTAAGCTTGACCTTATGGTCCAAACCTGTGGTCCCACGTGGCTGAGTGATATGAGCTTCAGGAGGTGCAACAAGTAAACAAAGCTTGGTCAGGTGCATGTAATTGAGTAGATTCTAAACCCGTGAGAACATTGTAAACATCTTGACCACACCCTTACTTTGTCTTGTGGAATCTAGCTATAAAATAAAGACTAGGCTTGCAGGTCGTGGCACTGCCTCTCTAATCAGAGGGCAGCATCCCACCTAGCCCCAGCTTTATTCTCTTGTCTGTCTTTTCTAATCCTTCACCGCCCCCCACTCCCTTACCACCACCCCCCCCACCTTGCCTTGGGTTCATCCATAGCTGTGCTGGTGCAGCACAGAGAAGGTAAGATTAAGTGGACCTGATAGATTTGGGTAGGATTTGGATGCATAAGACAAAGCAAGGAGGACTCTGATCATAAAAGCCTAGAATGGGCTGGGATTCAAGAGAAGTGGAGGCAACTTGCTGGGCATAAATGCCACAGGCACACTAAAGATGGCACCACTGTGCCCAGAGCATGGGCTCTGAGTGTGGGCCAGGCTTGGAGGTGGAGCCAGAACCACCTGGGGCAGATTTCTGGAGCCCGTCAGGTGCTCAAGAGACCCTTGCCAAAATCCCAGTTGGCCAGGTCCAGTCCTTCCACACACTGGGCCAAACAGGAGGCCTCGGGTGTAAGGATTCGCCACAGGGACAAGCCAATCACTAAGGCAGGGAGCTGCAGTCCAAAGATCAAGGCCGAGCATGTCAGAGGCCTGCATGATCCCTCCACAGCTTTCTTTGATCCTCAGGCTGCACTGATACGCTGTTCTGGGTGGAGAAGTGACCATGGGTCCCAAAGCCTCTGACAGACTCTGTGTCATGACAGTCTCCATAAGGGAAAGCAGTGTCTGGAATTCTTTTCCTTTTTGCATGTTCTCTAAGAATCTCTCTGCAAAGTCTCCCTTCCCCTCCCAGTGGGTAAGAGCATGTCTTTATTTTCCTCTCCATCTCCTCATAACGTCATGTACCGTAAGTGTTCAGCCCACAATGGGTGCTCTTCCTGTCGTAGTGCAGAATGACCAGCATAACATTAATAACAGCATTTCCTTATTTTACAGACAAGGAAAGAAAAAACATAATCATAATATTGTTCTATAATATATGCCAGTCCCTATCCGAATACACGCTTTGCATGTATTAACTTATTTAATCCTCACAATAATCCTTTAAGGTAGATACCATTATTCAGGAACTTGCCCAAGTTCACACAATGAGCAAGCAGGTCACACAGCTAGTAATGTGGGATTTGAACCTAGGTAGTCTGGCTCCATTGGCCATTGTGTGATGCTATCTGGATGGAAGTAGCATAGGTTTGATTAGGGGGAAAGTGGGTACACAATCCAGGAATCCTGTCTTCTAGGTCTGTCTACGCAATGAACCTACTCAAGACTTCACCGACTGGCGAGGTGATGAAAACAAGAATCTTCAGTCCCTGCTGTCCCTAAGGCCCTACCTCAGTTCCTCCAAGATAACTCCGGTAACTCCAAGATAGCAGAGTGACATTTTACTAAACAGCCCCAGGCTCCTTCCTCAGGAGACAGGATGCACTGGGGACCACCTGTTTGCAAGGCCATTTTAAAAAACATAGCAAAAACCTGAAAATAGAGTTTTTGAGAGGAAGTGATTTGCTAGTCATAATTACAGCCAGAGTGGGCCACTGCTTTCTAGAAGCAGGAAGACTGCTTCTAAATAGAGCCTGCAAAATGCAAATCCCCACGGAGCACAGCCTCTGCCCTACTGGGTCCCTCACTCAAAGACTAGGCTCAGGCTCCCTTCTGAGAGGCCCCAACTCAGCAGCACGCCCAGCTGGCCAGACCCAGTGTGTGAGGGCGGAAGATGCTCAGCTTTATGCCTAATGTTCTGGAGGGTATGGAGCTGCTTAATAAATACATGCAAGGATCAAGGGTATATTTGAAAACATTTAAAAATGCCTTCAACTGTTGAGTGAGGATGGGGTTAAGCTCTGGGGATCTGAGTGGGGTGGAGAAGGAGAGGCAAAATACAGAAGGGCTTGTGGGGGAGGACTGCTGAGAGCTATTTCTATTTCTAACCCAATGCCAGGCACTTGAGTATTGTCCTCCACCTAGCAATTTGAAGGCTGCAGTGGGTATGCATATAACAGAACAGGATGCTCCCTGGACAAAAGTTCTGAAAGAAAACCAAAACGGAAGACTGGCCCCCTCGCCCCCACTTGTCAGTCTCTAATGACCCTCAGGGACTGTTCCGGACACGCATGGGCATCTGCGAATTTACTCACCTGGAGTTGCCTCTACCTCCTGAGCCCTGGGTCAGAAATGGGAAGTGCAAAGCCTCTCCGTGTGTTTGTGTGTGCATGTTATTTTTAATGATTATGATTCACAATCCTTTTTCTTGTTCCTCACGATTTTCAGTTAAGTGCGGGGGGCGGGGGGGGGAGGGGAATGGTGAAAAAACACACACACATACCAAGTAAAACACAAAGGTTTCTCAGAAATTTTACCTCTGGGATGGCTGGAATTAGGTCTGCAGATTTCTGCAACATCCCTTAGGGGGCTGAACTTACTGTGCACCCTTTAATTTTTCACTATTTTAAAATTATACCAGAAAAGCATGCAGATAAGAAGATAGCTAGATTGTGAGGAAGCCCAAAATATTTGGTAAGAATGCTCAAGTTTGGGAAAGTTTAGCTGAAATAACAATTTATGGGTAGAATATTAGCTGGGAATTGGCTGTAGAATTACCCATAGATTGAAGGGCTTTGGGGGGTCAGGGGAAGGATGAAGTTTGTACTCAGGATATGGAAAAGGATTCAGTACAGCTAGGAGTCCTATGTGCTCAGAGTTTAATGTCCTAACCAACCCCACAATGTCTAAGGCATGACCAGTAAGTAGAACCAAGATATTCCATTCGGCAAAAGCAGACAGAAAAAGAAATCTCTTTTCTTTGTTTGTCCTGGTTGAAAACCAAACACGGAGAACCAAGATATTCCATTCGGCAAAAGCAGACAGAAAAAGAAATCTCTTTTCTTTGTCCTGGTTGAAAACCAAACACGATCGTCATCTGAAGAAATTCCAGTGTTGGGAGTGTTGAGGCCAAGAAGGGAGGGTAAAAATGCAGGCAGCTCTGACCACGGGGGAAATCACCCCAGAGGCTCCTCAATGCCATTGTCCAACACTGTGCTCTGGAATGCTCACGGGTGTCCTTGCATCTCTCCTGATTCCAGCATACAGGACACTCTTTACTCTCCCGAATGTCATCTAGCAAGCCCCGGCATACCTGTCTGGAACTGAGCATCCGGAACCACTTGTGTGCATCACATGCAATTTCCAGCTGTTGTGGGAAAGCAATGAATGAAGAGAAAGTACTAGGCCCTGACAAGGCTTAGCATCTAGGGGAGAAGAGGGAGAAGTAGGGAGAAGATCCTAAAGGTCAAATGCAATGTCTCCCATTGTTCATGTACCTTTTCAAAAAGAGACAATTCCATTTGATCCACTAATACAGTGGTTCTCAATCTTCCTAATGCCGAGACCCTTTAATACAGTTCTTCATCTTGTGGTGACCCCCAATTTCATTGTTACAAATTGAACATAATTAAAGCATAGTGATTAATCACAAAAACAATATGTAATTATATATGTGTTTTCCGATGATCTTAGGCGACCCCTGTGAAAGGGTTGTTCGACCCCCAAAGAGGTCAGCCACGACCCACAGGTTAAGAACCGCTGCACTAATATCTTTAGAAAACTTTGACCTTCTGCAAAAAGAAGGGAACTAAAATTATAGCCTTGCCTGTAGCTTGGATGCTTCACAAACATGGCACCACAGTGAGGCAATCTAGATAGAGTGCCAAACCAAAGCAGAGCTAAGAGTGGGAATTTTATGCCATTAACACAAAAGGTTAGGGGGCCAGGTTGAATCTGGACAAAATCACATAGGATCTTGAGTCCAGAGCATTTTCTAACAGTGAATTTCAATAAGAAGTTTTGGGAAATACCTCAGTCTTGTACTGGACACAGGGCAAAGATCTGCTTTTTTCCCCCCAGGGAAGTCCTGTGAAAACGGAATCAATTCCCCTGCTCTAATAATTTTTCTCACACCCCTTCCTGGACTATCCTACCTACACCAGTGCTCTACTCCTCTGTTAGAAAAAAATTAACCATGTCATGTAAACACTTTAAAGGCTGTCCTACTATCTACTAAATCAAGTGCACATTCCTTTGCTTAGTTATTTAAAAAGCCTACATAATTTAGCCCCACCCCACATATGCACCAGTGCTCTCCCACACATACCCTCTCATTTAGTCAGGCTGGCCCTCTCACTGTCCCCAGATAGCTTACTCATTCCTGCCTTTGCATTTTAATATCAGTATTCTTCATCCTAAACCTGGAATCTAAATTTACTCTTCCTCTTTAACAATCCCCAAAACGCCCTACCTTTGGAATTTTTTTTAACTACTTCAATTTCCCCCTTTCCCATTTCCAAGTAATTATCAAGTCATAGATAGATAGACAAATAGAAAGAGGTAGATATAGTATATATAGAGATATAGCCTCCCCAACTATACTGTAAGCTACCACCATGTATATGAATTTTATGTTACAGTGTCCCATATAAATTGTGCTCAATAAACAATTAGTGATTAATTGCAGTCCTTCTTCTATGAGTTAAAGGCGAAACACACACACACACAATTAGTCTCATTCCCATGTGGGATTTCAAAACAACATGACTTGTAAGCATACTTGGTTCCTTTAAGTTTGGTAACACAGGGGAAAAATGGAGAGAATGGCTGTGCCTAAGATAGTAAGGGAATGGATTCAAGATAGAATAAAATGCTTCCTCATTACTGACAATTTGAATGCTTATCTGAAAATTGGGCACCTCCAGGATGTTGCACTCTTCCTGGCATTCAAATACAGTTCACCAAAATATTAAATTATTTTGCCTTTAGGACTTCTCATTCTCCTTTTCTTTGAGGGAGTGGGTGTAAATATGAGAAAGAGGTTGGAAAAGACCATATACTTCTTAAAATGGAGCATAGCAGACAATAGACCAAAGAAAAAGAGAGCAAAGAAATAATAGCCAGAAATAATTGATTTTTGACAAGCATGCCAAGACAATTCAATGGGGAAAGGGAGTCTTTTCAACATATGGTGCTGAAAAAAACAGATATTCCCACCCACAAAATAATGAAATTGGACCTATACCTTACACCATATACAAAAATTAACTCAGAATGATTCAAAGACCTAAACTTAAGAGCAAAAACACTTAGAAGAAAACAAAGAAAAATCTTCATGACATTGGATTTGACAATGATTTCTAGAATATGACAGCAAAAGCAAGACAACACCAGAAAAAATAGGTAATTTGGACTTCAAAATTAAAAACTTTTTGGAATATCCTGGATTAACTGGAAATATATGTAGTATTTAAGAATATTTGATTCTAAAAGTATGGAAAAAGAAGATCCTACCGATTTGCTTTGTTCAAGCTGCTACTTATCTCTATTAGCCAAGAAAATAAAGCTTGATTTCCCTTGAAAAAAAAATTAAAAACTTTTGTGCATCAAAGGACACTGTAAGAGAGTGAAAAGACAATCCACAGAATGCAAGAAATATATTCAAATCATATATCTGATAAGGGATTAATATTCAGAACATAAAAAGAATTCCTATAACTTAAACAAAAACAAAAAGCACCCAAAAATCCTAATTCAAAAATGGATAACCAACTTGAATAGACATTTCTCCAAAAAAGATATGGTCAATAAGCACATTAAAAGATACTCAACATTATTAGTCATTAAGGAAATGCAAATGAAAACTACAATGACATACCACTTCTTGCCCATTAGGATGACTATTGTAAAAAAGGAAGAAAGAAAAGTGTTCGCGAGGATATAGAGAAATTGGAAACCTCCTTAGAATTGGAAGCTGGGCCCTGGCTGGGTGGCTCTGTTGATTGGAGCATTGTCCTGTGCATCAAAAGGTTGCAGGTTTGATTCCTGGTCAGGATGCAACCAATTGTTCTCTCTCTCTCTCTTTTTTTTCTTTCTCTCTCTCTCTCAGTATGAAGTTTCCTCAAAAAGTAAAAAATGGAACTCCCATTTGACCCAGTGATCCCACTTCTAGGAATATATCCCAAGAAACCAGAAACACCAATCAGAAAGGATATATGCATCCCTACGTTATAGCAGCACAATTTACAATAGCTAAGATTTGGAAACAGCCTAAGTGCCCATCAGCAGATGAGTGGATTAAAAAACTGTGGTACATCTACACAATGGAATACTATGCTGCTATAAAAAAGAAGGAACTTTTACCATTTGCAACAGCATGGATGGAACTGGAGAGCATTATGCTAAGCGAAATAAGCCAGTCGGAGAAAGATAAATATCACACGATCTCACTCATATGTGGGATATAATAATCAACATAATTTGATGAACAAGAATAGATCCAGAGATAAATGGTAGCGGGGGGCGGAGGAGGATTAGAGAGCAACCAAAGAACATGTATGCATGCATATTAGCATAACCAATGGACACAGACACTAGGGCGGCGGGGGCTTGCCTGGGGTGGGAATGGCTAGGCGAGGGGTCAATTGGGGGAAAAGGAGACATATGTAAAACTTTAGACAATAAAAAAAAAATTAAAATTAAAAAAGGAAAAATTATTCAGCCTTAAAAAGGAGGGAAATTCTGATACATGCTGCAACATGGATGAAACTTGAATACATTATACTAACTGAAATAAGCCAGACACAAAACATCAAATTCTACTTATATGAGGTGCCTACAATAGGCAAATTCATAGACAGAAAGTAGAATCTTGGTTGCCAGGAGCTGGGGGATATTGAAATGGGGGGTTATTCTTTAATAGATAAATTCCTATTTAATAGGAATTTCTGTTTGGGATGACAAAAAACATTCTGGAAATAGTGGTAGTAATATGATTATACAACATTATTAATGTACCCAATACCACTGAATTATATACTTAAACGTGGTTAAAATGTAAATTTTGTGATACAGATATTTTACCACAATAATTAAAAAAAAGAAATAGAATCTGAATCCAATCATTAGGAAATAATCAGATAAATCCAAATTGTGGGTCATTCTCCAAAACAACTGATCTGCAGTCTTCACAAACGTCAAGATGAGGAAAGAACAAAAGTGGGGATTAGGGTATTGTTATAGAGTAAAAGAGATTTAAGAGACAGGACACCCAAATACAGTGACTAATCCTTGATTTTATTTCAATTTTTAAAAAGGAAAAGAGTCTAGAGAGCATTGTGGTGTAGATAATTGGGAAAAGTGAATATGAACTGTATACCAATGTTCAATTTCTTCCAAGGTAGGAAATTACCACTCTGAGAAGATATATGTTGAAGTTTTTAGATATATGTAGACATTATATCTAATGTCTACAACTGACTTTCGAATAGGTTGGATAGGGTGGGAATGTATAATACAGAAAGATACAGTAAATAAATATAGCAATATCGATGAATGTAGGTGAAGAGTTTAAAGACATTGTACTAGTCTTTCTGTTCTTCTGTATTGGAAAATAAAAATCTAGAGGAAAAAAATGGAATCGTCATTTTGGTTCCCAAGTGATCAGGGGAACACTGACTTCCTGTGACCTCTGTGAACAAAATGTTGATCTGTTTGCCACGTTGGGACATCCTGTTTTACTGAACTCACATTCCAGGGTTGCCAGAAGGAGCTGAGAGCTGATTACTTGGAGGTGATTTGGGTGAGGCATATTGTCTATGCCACTTCAGGATCTACTGTGTTGTGTTCTTGTGTGTGTGTCAAAGTTTTAAGCCCCCAAGGTTAGGGTCATGTCTCACTTTTCTTATAATCCGCCTTCCCCCAACATCCTAATCCCATGCTTTATACAGAGCTAAATACATAGTAAGTGTCCAGTAAATAATTTTCCATTATTGACTATCCCATCAGTATCGAAAGGCATGTATAGAAGTATAAGAGGTCAAGGATAGGGTCAAAAGGTTTATCTCCAACTAAGGTATTAAAATGCTCCGGGGTAGGGCCTTGCAGAAGGAATGTCAAGTGTGGGCTTTGACACAATCTAATTCTCTATGGCAACCAGGTGTTACTGACTTAGGTGGTGACTAGTACTGAGGGGTGGAGTAAAAGAAATACAGCTTTGGCAAAAGCTTATGAATACCTAAGCACAGAATGTTCCCAGCTTGGCCCTATGGTACAACTGCTCTCACAACCCTGTGAATTCTTCCCAAGGAAGCAAGGTCAAACAATGGTCTGTGGACCTCAAAAAAGAGAGCACCCATTTTGGCTCCTTGAGCAGGGTCACTATGCTTTGAGGGATCTGCACTACTTGGGATTCAGGGAGAACAACACCAGCCTTTACCAGAAGATGGAGGTGTGAACACTCTCCAGCACAGCTTTAGAAGGAAGGTGCTGCCCACGTGCTTAGCAAGTTGCAGAACACGTAGGCCTGCAGCATTCCACCTCCAGCTGAGACACCAGTGTGCTGCTGTGTTGCAGCTTGTTAAGGGAGTGTAGACTTG